GCGGCCGCCACCGCCATGCGTTGGGTCCGCGCGCTGCTGAAGAATGCGTCCCTGGCAGGGGCGCCCAAGTACATCGAGCACTTTAGCAAATTCTCCCCGTCCCCGCTGTCCATGAAGCAGTTTCTGGACTTCGGTACGAGTGGGTGAGAGGCGGCTAACAGCGGGGGCCCGCAGAGGGGGTGGGGGGTGGAGATGAAGGGGTCCTGGCCGGAAGGGTTAATGCGGAGGATAAAGGAGGCTGAGTGGCAGGGAAGGTTTGCTTGCAGGGATCCAGGCAGGAAAGGGTTAACAGGGAGGCAGGGGCTGGCCGGCCTTGAAAGGATTAAGGGCACCCCGGCTGAAGATGCTCCCGACTGGATTGTTAGCGGGGAGTGACGGCACTGAAAAGGAGGGGTCCAAGGTGTCTTCCCAGGCTTTGTGAGGGTTCTTGAAGAGGAAAGGGCAGTGAGGTGGTGATGTTAGGGCAGGAAGGGAGTAGGATGTATCCAGGCACTAAAGGGTTACTGGAGGTTGTTCTGGTGACTGTAAGAGTGAGGGTCAGAGAGAGAATGGGAGCGATGCTGGTGGGAGTAACAAGGCAGGGTTGGGAGGTGCAGCCATCTGGAAGGAGACCTGGCCTAGACATGGGGTCAGTGGGGGAAGGGGGCACTTTCAGAAGAGTCAACAGGAGAGGCCCTGACTAGTACACCTCAAACCACTGGAGGATCTGGCCCCCAGCTGTCCCAGTGGGCAAGGACACTTGAAGATCAAATCTGCTGCGGCCTGGCCGTCTGTCCTCCACTGAGCAAAGGCCTGGGGCACCATGAGATGGAGTCAGGCGGCTTGTACCCACCCTTGGCTGCCCTGGGTTCCTGGGCCCCGATCGCATTCTGGGGTTAGCTCTGGAACAAGAGCAAGACTGTGCCAGCGTGGCGACTGAAACAGGCATTGTGTGGTTCCTGTCTTTTCACACAGTATTTCCGTGGTGCCAGCTGGGGATTAGGAGGGGATACCCAGGTCTCTCAAGAGTTGAGGTAACAGTGCTTGGCTCAGATTACAGCTGTGTCACTGATGGGAGGGGGTGGGGAGGTGGCAGCCAGGACATAGGGCAGCTGTTCCCCAGGACTTGTCTGCCTGCCCCCCTGCCTTGTTTGCGCCCTCCATGTAGGAAAGCCCAGTCCCAGCCCCTAGCAGCTGTCCAGTCCTGACTGGACCCCTATTACACAGCTGGGAGGGACTCACAGTAGGGTTTGGTCCACTGGGAGTTTAGTGGGGGAAACAGACCTTCAGAGGATGACAACGTGCCCTGGGTGACAGAGTTGGAAGCAGAACCTGGACCAGAACCTCCTGACTCTGGGCCATGGCCTTATTCAGTTCTCCCTCCCCTCTTTATCGTGAAGCCAGGGCAAAGACGGAGGTATTTGGACCCCAGTTCTCAGTCCCTGTCTACCTCACAGGTGGGTGGGCATTAATGTATGGGCAACTCTACCGTAGCCCTAAAGACCAGCTGGGCCAGAGATGACACCGGGACCCTGCAGCTGTGGAGGTCCAGGCATAGCTCCCCTCAGCCAGGGGGAGCTTATCCTAAGGTAGGGATGGGTTTCTCAGGCTCCTCTGCCCAGCTGGACCAAAGTGCATGTCTTCTCTGAGGAAAAGAAAGAGAAGAAGTGAGATAACTTGGGCTGGAGGCAGCTCCCAGTTGGCCCGGGGTGGCCCTGGCCTCTGTGGCTGAAGGCATGCGGGGTTCAGCTGAGGGTATGGGGAGGATGCAGCCTCCCTAAGGGTTAGGCTGGGTGGTGCGGTGGTTGGTGCGCTGTAGGGATCAGGAGAGACGCCTTGTCCTGTGCCCCTGGTCTCTTCTCTGAACCCTCAGGAAATGAAAGATTTAGTCAACCTGACCCCCAAGATGTCCTCTGGCTCCAGTGGTTTGCAACTGTGTGGGCTCACCCTTCCCTCTCCCACCAGGGTCCAGCAATGCCTGTGAGAAAACCTCGTTCACCTTCCTCAGGCAGGAGCTGCCTGTGCGCTTGGCCAACATCATGAAAGAGATCAACCTGCTTCCTGACCGGGTGCTGAGCACACCCTCAGTGCAGCTGGTACAGAGCTGGTAAGACCCCTGGCTAGGTCTCTGCACCTTGCATTCCATCGCCAGATGCCCCCTGCTCCCAGCAGCCTTGAGGGAGGTGGGGACAGGGGGGGCATGGGCTCGGAGAGGTAGGAAAGGCCCAAGGTCAAGTGGGAATCCTTGGCCAGGGCAGGGACAAAGACCAAGCTCCTGGCTTCCATGTCTGTGGGACAGACAGGTCCATACAAACCACCCTCCATTCTCTGGAAAGCCAGGATCCACCAGGTTCCACCTAGAAAACCATCATTTTCACAGCCAAAACCCCAAATCAGGCTAATGTCAGCAATTGCCATCAGCCCTGGTCCTGAAACCGCAGCACCTGTTGGATAATATTTACCTGGGGTAACTGTGGGAAACTGAAACAGGAAGAAGCGAGTCTTTACATTATATAATCCAAACAAGTCAGCTGATTTGGGATGTTGGAAAACACTCAGATAGGCCCAGAGATGGCACAGTACCAACCCCAGAGAGCTTTGGATGGGCAAAGATCGAAAGTTTATTGCACGGAGCAACAGTAGCAGGGAGAAATCCTCAGTAAACAAAATCCCTGTTTTTGTCCAGGGATAAGTAACTGAATGGCATTAGCCAACGGCCAGTCGCATGAAGAATATAAACAACAATTTGCTCTGTCACTGGGCATGTAAATGGCTAGTGATGGTTGGTCTTCAGTGGCACGTGTGCAGAAATCTTTTGCCTGTTCTTCTGGCTATGGCTGTGGTTTCCTTTTGGGTTTGGGGTGTCCACACCTACTTGGACCCCAGTGCTGTGCTGGGTCTAGGAGGTCGGCGGCAGCAGCTGCCCTCAGGGAGCCCACCATCTCATAGGGAGAATAAAAGAGGGCAAACTAAGAGCTACATAGTCAGTGGTAGGAGCAGTGAGCTGCTAAAGAGTTAGTTTTATTTGAATTAAAATCAAAATATTATTTTAAAATAACTGACTTTTTTTTTTTACTTCGTTGCAGAAGTATAACATGTTCACTTTGACATTTGGAGAACACAGGAAAGTAGATAAAAGAGAATGCCAACCACTATCCTCCACCCCTTAAACAAACACTGTTAAGGTTTCATAAGGTTTGACTGGTGCCTTTCCAGCCTTTTTCTATGTGTGGATATGCAAATGCATGACTCATTCTAATTAAATGAGGATAAGGGAAGGCCAGGCACATGGTCCGTGCACAGTGAATTTTAGTTGAATCAGAAAGTTGTGGGGCCTACTATATATAAAATAGGTAAATAAGGATCTACTATATAGCATAAGGACTTATATTCAATATCTTGTAATAACATATAATGGAAAAGAATCTGAAAAAGAATACATGTATATGTAACTGAATCACTTTGCTATCCACCTGAAACACTGTAAATCAACCATACTTCAATTTAAAAAAAAAGCCGCTGCTTGTGCAAAGGTGTGGAGGCAGGAAAGGGCCAAGCTAGAGCATCTGAGCACAGGCTTTGTGGACATAGTGCTGTTAGTGCAAGCTGGCAAGGGAGGGACGGGGAGGGCAGAGCCCGATTTTCATGTAACCCAACGAGGTCACCCCTTGCTGGGCCCTGTCCCTTAGAGGTCCAGGACCTCTGAGCCAACCGGCATTTCCTGCCATCGGGCAGTGTGGAAGGCATGGGGAGGAGACAGAAGGTGCCATCTGTTGTCCCCAGCCTCCTCCAGCTCTGTCCAGCTGAGTGACCTGGCTGCCTCTCCAGCTGGTCCCTGACTCCAGGGCAGGGCTTCTCAGGCCTCTCCCTGGACAGTGTGTTCCTAGGAGAGTCAGAGGATGCAGGGAGGGAGGGCAGGGAGCTGCTGAACTGCCTATGATGCCCTGGGCCCCGCAGAGCCCCTTCCTGAAAATCAGTTACATGTGTGGGGGCTTGGCCTGACCTCATTCTTCCCTCAAAGATGGGAAGTGAGTAATGTCAAGCAACAGCAGGAGGGAGTGAAGTTAGACAAGAGAGAACACGTCCCAGTGGATGGTTCCACTTAGAGGAGAGCAGGCCAAGTACTGCTTGCCAGAGGGTGCTGACAGTGAAGAGACAGCCTGCTGAGGTTGTTTCCGGAGAATGGGCATCGGCTGCAGTAAGAGAGACTGTGGTCTGAGGGAAGGAGGGACTTCCTGACAGGGACAAGGCGCCTGACTGTGAGAGAGGGCAGACCTCCCTCTCCAGGAGAACCACCTGCCAGCCTGGATGATGGAGGCAGTGGAAGTGGGCAGAGTTTGCATGAGAGGAGGGGGACAACCTACCAGGTAGACTTGCAACAGGGCCACTAGCCTCAGAATCTGATGAGTAAGGAGCGAAACCTCTCCTTTGGGAAACGGGTAAGTCCTGTGCCAATGCTATTAGTAGTAGTAGTGGTAATAGTTAATATGTGGTAACAGCTAATGGAGTTTCTACTCACCTAGGGGAGAGGTTGTAGGCAGGAATTACTATGGGCAAATGAGGAATTCCTGGCTCCGAACACACTTGATAAATGATTTCAGGTGGATAGACTTGGTGTAGTGGGATCCTGTTTTGGAGGTGACTGGAAGGTAGCGGAAAGCCCCAAGCGTGGCTTCGGTGTGCCTGACTGCGAGGCTTGGCTTTGCTGCTTGCTGGACGCTTGCTGTTTGCCCAGGCACATGGTCTCTCTGAGCCTCGGCTTTCCTCTCTGTAAAGTGGAGTCCATTCTGTTTGTAAAGGTCCGGTGTCACTGCTGGATGTGAAAGTGACAACTCTAAACACAAATGATGTGCCTGAGTGTGTGGACGGCAGCACCTCCAGGTTTTCTTAGCCCGTGTAGTAATGGTCACGATGACAATGACAGAAGTGGACATACGTGGAGGGCCTGCTGGCCATCAGGACCTGTTCCAAGTGTGTCCCCCTATTAACTCATCTAACCTTCACAACAAACAAACTTATGAAGTAGGCCTTGTTATCCCCATTGTATAGATGAGGAAACTGAGGTTCTGAGAGATGAAGAAACTTGTCTGAGCTCATTCAGGGCATCAGTGGTCGAGCCAGAATTCCATCCCAGGCTGTGTGATCTGGAGGCTGCGTTCTCAAAGGGAAAGGGAAATGCCGCGTGCTGGGGCAGTGACCTGCAGTCAGAGATCTCTGAGCTCGTGGAGCAAGTCAGTGGGAAAGTAGATTTTCTTTACCGAGATGGGTTTGACGGCTAGTGTCACGGGGGCACAGAAGGAGTAACCTTGACAGTGCTCAGGAGAAAAAGGAGACAAGACAGCCTGAAGAGGGGTGTGGAGTCCACAGGATGTACTTCTAAGAAATGGAGTTGCAGAGTAGAATTAGATGACAGTGAGTCACTCCTGTCACCTACAGGGTCTTTGCAGAGCTTGCAGGGAAAGGGGCGGGAGGTGGTATGGCCAGCACCTTCTCCTGCACCTCTCTTGTCTATCAGCAAGGTGTATGGACCCCAAACCAGTCCTTGCCCTGGAAAAGAATGACCACGCACAGGTTCTGGACACCCAGGGCCTGTTCCGCGCCAGGCCCACTGCCGGGGCTTTAGCCAGATCCTGCCGCTAAATCCCTCAGATACCTCTTACCTAATCAGAGTGGAGACTAGCCACCCACGTCATCACTAGTCCATGTTGCAGTCCCACCGAGTGCCTGCTGCTTCCAGCCCCACTTCACAGATGCAGACGTGAGAGGCTCAGTGGCCTTTTGAGTGCACAGCCAACAGCACGACCCAAGTCGGCCTGGCTCAGGGCGGTGCCCGCCACCCTTCCACAAGCAGCTCCCACGTCTGTCACCTCTCCCCCCTCACAGGGCCTCCACCTTGCTCACAGCCCTTGTCCCCCGCAGCTGTACACACTAGTGCACGGTGCATACACACACACACACCCACAGACACACACTTACTCCCCTACTCACTCAGTGCTCCCTCTGCCCCCACACAAGCCTGTGCACCCCTCCTCCCCATCACCACACACGCATTCCAGCATCCCTACACCCACACCCACGTACACTCACACTCTCTCTCGCACACACACACATGCACTCTCTGCCTGTCCCCTAATTCCACCCCTCCTACCTCTCAAATCCAGGGCTCTGGACTAGCTAGAAGTCTCCAGAAGGCAGGGTTCGAGGCTTCCACGTTACCTTGAGTCAGGGGAGGAAGTTCCAGGTCTCACCCCAGAGTCGTGGGCAGCCTTGCTCACTGCTGAGGTCAGCAGGCCAGGCCTTCCCTAAGGCGTCACGTTGGGCCCCACTGCCTGCTCTGCCTGGCCGAGGGCAGGAGACCGTGTCTAAGCTCAGCTCTTTCTCTGGCCCTCTGGGGTGGGCAGCCCAGGAGCCAGCATCACTCCCTCCCCAGTGTCTTTCCCTTTTTAGGACCAAGATCTGGCCCAAGGATGAGGTCTGGTCTGCCAGGCCCATGGTGAGCTTCAGTCCAAAGCGAGGTTCCCCTGGAAGAATCATTGTCATCTTCTCTCTTCCAAGAGGACACCCAGGTCCACTTCTCTGAAGGAATGGCCCTGAGAGGGAGACAGGCGGAGGCTTTGAACCCTGCCTCACAGTCTGGAGCCAGAGGCCTGAGGCTGGCAGCTCTCCTCATAGCCGTGCTCGCAGGCACTGCCTGGTGCCAGTCTATCCTGGTGCCCTTTGCTCTGCTTCATTGGCTATGTGACCCGGCCCCATTCTGCCCTTCAGGGTTCATTAGGCAGCCACAGAGGGGCGGTGCCAGCAGCTGGAGCTCTCACCCTACCCGGGGCAGGGCCGGGTGCAGGGAGTCTGTCCCTGCCCCACTCCCAGCCCAGCTGCTCAGGCCCCCCAGCTCCCACCCCCTCCCTCTCTGATTGGCCCCCACTCAGCTGGTCTCCTCTCTTTCCTTCTCTACCTGTGTCCAGCATTGCATCCTTGCAGGTCCTCTTCCCAGATCCCTTCTCCCTCTAAGAATCACGTGAGCATGAAGCTTTATTGTGGGCATGATCAGGGGATGGGGTATGTGGAGTGACGCAGGCCTGTGAGAGAGAGTCCCAGCTCAGCATGTGAACTGTAAAATGGGTGGAGCTGTAGCGCCCACCCCACAGGGGATTGTGGAGGTTAAAGTTGGGGAACAGGTAAGCACAGAGCAGAGCCCTGGCACAAGGCCAGTAAATGCTGGCTGCCCTCACCGTCGACACCAGCAGCATCACCGTTAGGACAGGTGTAGACAGTGAGCACTTGGCCATGTGATGCAGACTTGGCATCAGACCGACCTGGGTTGAATCCCAGCGCAGCTGCTTACTGTGTGGCCTGGGGCATATTACCTGCCCTCCCTGAGCTGGTTTCCTTGTCTGCACAAAGGGGAAATACCACATGCTTGTGAAGGCTACTGGGAAATGAGAGACCCTGTGCAGACTGTGAACGCAGGTGGGCACTGACAGTGACTGGGTAAGTGCCGGCTGTTAGTCTCCAGGGAGCCCGAGGTGATGCCGTAGGAGGGCCACTCTGATTGTCTGACGGGGAGAGGGTACTGAGGGGAAGCTGATCTCTTTTGCTCTCTGGGCTCCCCCTGCCATGACTGTGATGCCTCCCGCCGGGCGCTGTGCCCGGCCCTGGGTGGGGAGGGCAGGCGGGAGCAGCAGGGCTGGGACAGCCCCCTTCCTGCCACTGGTGGCTGTCCAGAGCGTGACAGATTCAAACATGGTGTGATTCAGAGCCTGTGCCCAGTTGGGAGGAGTGCGTCACGTGCCACCTGGGGACTCAGAGGGTGCACTCAGCTGTTGACACTGTTTGAACCACGGCTCATGTCAAGAACAGACATTTGGAGAGTGCTTGCTATGTGCTGGGCACTGTGTTAATTATCATATTTCTCACCAAAAAGTAGTGATAGCAGTAGGTACAAGACTCTCTCTTTTTCTGATGAGAAAACTCAGGCCCAGAGAGGTTCCATGACTTACCCAGAGCCACACAGCTCAAAGTTGGAAAAGCCCGAAGCTGGGAGCAGAGGCAGCTCCAAAGCTAGCTCTTCCACCCTCTTCTCTACTGGCTTGAGCAAGAGAAGGAAGAATAGCAGTTAGGAGGTGAAGGGGCAGAGCGCTCCGAGCGGGGGAAACCGCGGGCCCAGCCGGTGAGCACTTGGAGCAGCCCAGCACGATGCGGTGCAGGAGCACTGTGCGCATGGGACTGCTTCCAACGGTGGGGGGCCCTCTCCAGAGAGGCTGTTGGCCCCAGGGGCCCTCCCCGCTCAGGGTTCTCGCAGCCCCTCCTTCCTGCTGGCTGGCAGTGTTTCTGCCTGAGAGAAGCTCAGCTCTCCGCCTTCCCCAGCCCGAGCTGCGGGCCGAGCGTGTTAGCAGGGGAGCCGTGGGAGTCCTGCCACACGTTGCGGGGCAGGGGACAGTGGCACCAGGTGGGCGCTGTCTGGCCAGCCCTGGCCCCTTTGGGCTCTCCATGGGCTCCAGTCCCACCCAGTGTCAAGCTGGGCATGCCCACCCCATCCCCGAGCCTTCCCACCCATTTAAAATCCACTTCCCTAGGCAGACTGCACAGCTCCTGGGGCCCGGCCCAGACCCACCCACTCAGCCCGGGCCCAGAGGGTGTGAGGCTATTACCTCCCTCACTGAACACCTACTGTGTGAGAGCCCTCCACTAGCCACGCCGCCACCTGTGCCCCACGGGATGCAGTGACAGCCTTGCAGAACTGACATAAAGATCTGTTTCCGGGAAGGGCCCAGGGAGGTTGAGTGCCCTGCCCCAGCCTTCTCTCACTGCTGGCCTTGGGCAGGCCCTCCCCTGCTCAGCCTGTGCCTCAGTCTCCTAATCCAGGAGACCAGTGGTGGGGGTGGTCACTAAGCCCCTTGGAAGACTGCTGTTGTAGGATTCCAAGGCAAAAGCGCTCTAAGAACCGACAAATCAGAGGTTTCCTTGCAAAGCCTACTATGTTGTCCGGGAGGCTCATGTTCAGACTGAGTGGAGGGAGAAAATCAGTGATGCAGCTTGTCTGCTGTGCAGCCCAGCTCTGCGTGGTGCCCACTGGAGGCACAGAACAGAAGTGGGGTCAGGTGGGAAGGGTCCCGGCCCCGAGCTGAAGCGATATCCCCTCCCCTTCCCACACACAGGTATGTCCAGAGTCTCCTGGACATCATGGAGTTCCTGGACAAGGACCCCGAGGACCATCGTACCCTGAGCCAGTGAGTGAGGCCCTGGCTGGGGGCGGGCGGACAGGTGTAGGTCACAGCCCTGGGGGCAGAAATGGATATCCAGTCTGACGGGGAAAAAGCCCCTGTCCTTGGTGTGCCCTGAGTCTGCTAGGGGGTCCAGGCCCTGCCCCTGCAGAGCTCCCAGGCTGTCAAGCAGGCGGTGGGAGATTCGGGGTGGGCTCTGGGAGGAGTGGGCTCAGAATAATCAAGTGGGTGAAGACACTGTGGAGAGGAAGTCAGAGTGGGGAGAGTCTGAGGGTGTCCCAGGGCTGGGGTGGGGTGGGGGCCAATGTCTGTACCCTCCACAGGTTCACCGATGCCCTGGTCACCATCCGAAACCGCCACAACGACGTGGTGCCCACCATGGCGCAGGGCGTGCTGGAGTACAAGGACGCCTACGGCGACGACCCCGTCTCCAACCAGAACATCCAGTACTTCCTGGACCGCTTCTACCTCAGCCGCATCTCCATTCGCATGCTCATCAACCAGCACAGTGAGCGGGCGCGGCGGGCACATTCACTGTTCAAATGTTTACAGAATGCAAACTTCTGTCACCTCTCTGTGTGTAAACTCTTGTTACACTCAGAAACGGGTTGTTGTCTAGAGTTTCTCATTCCAGAAGTCTTCACTATGATAAGTTCCTCACACTCAAATAATTTCAAACCCAAGATGGTAAAAATTATTTTTAAACGTATAGCAAAAGAGAGGAATAAATGTAACGTGGGATGTGTGGGGACAAGACTTCAGAGAAGAATTGTTCAGGCCTACAAAGGTCCAAAAATGGCCTGAGCCGGGGTTAGAGGGGTCGGGGCCAGACGGCAGGAGGGTTAGGAATAGAGGTGGAGAGCTGGGGAGCCAGGGCGCGAGGCAGCGGTGAGGCAGGCTCTGTGCCCCCACCAGCAGCGCCCTCCCTTCCTGCCCGCAGCCCTGATCTTTGATGGCAGCACCAACCCAGCCCACCCCAAACACATCGGCAGCATCGACCCCAACTGCAACGTCTCTGAGGTGGTGAAAGGTAAGCCGTCCCTACCGTGCCTGACCCACAGAGGTGCCCCAGTGACCCCTCCGAGCTTACCTGGCCAGAGGGTGACCCATTCCCCAGGGGGAGGGGGCAAGATCTCCTTGGGTATAATGTTGGTGACACCTTGTGTCTGTGCCAAGAGGACTGGCTGCTGGGGGGAGCCCCCTGTTCCCTGAATGGCCCCTGTCTTCTCTCAGATGCCTACGACATGGCCAAGCTCCTGTGTGACAAGTATTACATGGCCTCACCCGACCTGGAGATCCAGGAGATCAATGGTGAGTGAGCAAGGCTGTGTCTGTCTGTCTATCTGTCTCAGGGCTGGGGGCACGAGAGAGGAAAGTGAGGCGGGAGTCAGGAAATGAACTGTTGCCTGGATGAGGGAGAAGCCGAGCTATTATTGTATTATTGTTATTACTGGTTTATCTGGGAAATATTTATCAAGCAGTAAACAGGCAAGGTCCCTGTTCCCACAGAGCTTACATTCTTGGTACTGGGGAGGATGGGGAACGAGGGCCCTTTAAGCAATGAACGAATAATAAACAAGGTAATTTCAGATCATGATAAGTGACAGGAAGGAAATAAAACGGGGTAACATGACAATGAAAGGCAGGGCCCAAGAGTTGGGCATATCACTTCCCTAAGTCTCCTGGCTCTTCCTGGCTGCAAGGGAGGCTGGGAATTTAGTCTCTAGCTGGGCAGTCCTGTACCAGTTAAAACTTCAAGGGACAGAGGTGTCTGTTACTAAAGGAAGAAAAGAAATAATGGATACAAGAGGTTGGCTATAGGGTGTTCCTACTTTGGATGGGGTAATCGAGGACCAGAAGGACCAGGGTGGTGGGGTGGGAGATTGAAGGTGTGATGGGTGAGAGAAAGAGACAGGTGTGCAGGGCCCATGGGCCACGGACAGGAGCTGGAATTTTGAGAGCAAGAGGAAGCCACTGGAGGGTATGAAGGATGGTAATGACAGGATCTGACTTCCATTCTAAAGATATTTAGAGGTTGGAGGAGGCAGGAGAGGACACAGGAAAACCAGTTAGGAGGTCATTGCAGGATCCAGACAAGGGGAGGGGAAGGTAGCAGAGATGGAAAGAAGGAAATGGACTGGATCTTGGATCTTAGAGGTGGAGGGGCCAGGACTTGCTGATGAACCAGGGGCAGAGGGGAGAGGAGGACCAGGGACCTGGAAATGACCTGTACCCTCCCCATCACCCACCTGCTCCTCAGCCACCCCAGGCCTGCGTGCCAGAAACCTGAAGTGTTCATGCCCCTGTACCTGGACGTCACGTTGCCCATATCCTAGCCTTCCCTTGAGACCTGATTCAAGTCCAGCTCCTCTGAAAAGCCTTCCCAGATCTCCCAGAGAAGCCAGTTAGGCACCCGCCTGCCCCAGGTGTATCTCTGTGTATTGCACGTTTGAATTACTTAGGGGCAGAGACCAAAAGGCAGGCCACTTAATTTCAGGGTCCCCAGGGCAAAGCCCAGGACCTAGCACACAGCTCTGGGTACAACACCTAATGTGAAAGTCAGTTGTGCGTTTCTCTGTCTAGACTTGAATTTCCAAAAGTGTAGGGCTGAATTTTATTCATCTTTATGTCTCCACTGCCCAGCACAGGGCCTGAGATCCTTTCATTTATTGATCCATTGCACCTTTAGTGAGCTGCTGCTGCATACAAAGCCCTGTGCCAGGCAGCAGGAAAAGACACTCAGTCCCTAAAACCAAGAAACTCTCTGAGATAGACTGATTCTTGAGAAGTAGGATGCTGGTGTCAGGAACATCTGGGCAGCCCCCTTCCCTTTCCCCTAGGTGAAAAAGCATTCCAGGGGATTCTGGTAGCCAGATGAATGCTAGTAGACTAGATATAGAATAGACAGATACTATCCGAGTGGATGAATGATGGATAGATAGATAGATGAATCGAAGGATGACTCTGTGCTCTGAATAATTTGATAGATGAGAAAGATAGATGTTTGAACAGATGCATAGACTGAAGGATGGTTGGATGGATACTGAATGGGTAGATAGAGGAATGAATGGATGTTGAATGGATATGATTGATGAATGGATGGATAGATGGATGGATGGACAAACAGACATTATATAATGGATATTGTATGAGAATGGAACAGATATTGCACATGGATAGTTGAATGGACACTGAATGAATGGATAGATGGATGGGTGAATGAGCAGATGGATGGACACTGGATGGTGGTTGAGTGCTGGGGGCTACATTCACCATTCACTCACCTCTTGACAATTTCCTGATCTTTGGTCTTGACTTCCCTGGCAGCATCCAACTCCAAACAGCCAATTCACATGGTCTATGTACCCTCCCACCTCTACCACATGCTTTTTGAACTCTTCAAGGTGAGGAGGCTGTGGGATGGTCCTTTGTGAGGGATGGGGGGCAGTCAAGGCTAGGCTGCTCTCACTCATCTCCTACCTCCTTCCCTGCACAGAATGCCATGCGAGCAACTGTGGAAAGCCATGAATCCAGCCTCACTCTCCCACCTATCAAGGTCATGGTGGCCCTGGGCGAGGAAGATCTTTCCATCAAAGTATGTGACCCTTGACTTTGTGGGGTAGAGACTTTTCTCCTGCCAGGAGGTGGGCTTAGGGAAGACCCTGGGGGTAAGGAAGACCATGAGAAGGTCAGGGGTGGCGTGTGGAGGAAACTGAGATCTGGAGAGCCCCTGACATGTCCCATCTTCCCCAGATGAGTGACCGAGGTGGGGGTGTCCCCTTGAGGAAGATCGAGCGACTCTTCAGCTACATGTACTCCACGGCACCCACACCCCAGCCTGGCACCGGGGGAACCCCACTGGTGAGATGGCTGCATTCCAGTTCCCCCACCTCCCAGAGAATGCCTGTTGGTTTTTTCGTCTCTTTTTGTCAAATTGTCTCTCTTCCCCATCTCTTGCTTCCATGTCTCCCATGGTCTCTCCATCCTCGTGTGGCCATGTGTGATGTCAGTCTGCTGGGCCTCCCTGTTCCTCCCATCTCTCCCTAGTCTGCACCCACCTCCCTATCTGAAGGTGCCTGTCTGTTACCTTTCCTCAGTTCTCCCTGCCCCTCTATCTCTCCATAAGGTTACCACCTCTCTCAGTATTGTTCAACTCACCTCACCTCCCTGTCCATACCCAACGGAGTAGGCAAGGCTGGGTGTGGGAAATTGAGACTAAGAGGAGCCTCGTGATCTGCCCAGACCCCTGGCTTCCAGAGTTCCTCTCCCTGCCCTGCCTGCTGCTCCCTACCCCCAACATGCTCTGCAGCCTTCCTCCCTCCCTCTGCCAGTGATTTCCCTCATTCCACGGCCCACATCTTGCCTCAGAGCCGTCCCTTTCTCATGTCCCCTCCCCACCCCAATTCCAGGAGTCCCCCTGCATGACCCCCAGCTCAGCATTCCTCACTCAGCACACCATCCCTGCAGCTCCAGGCGCCAGCGTCTCATCGCTCTCCCTTCCTGCCCCTTTGCAGGCTGGCTTCGGGTACGGGCTCCCCATTTCCCGCCTCTATGCCAAGTACTTCCAGGGGGACCTGCAGCTCTTCTCCATGGAGGGCTTTGGGACTGATGCTGTCATCTATCTCAAGGTGAGGGCAGAGCCTGGCTGGGGTTGGAGGGGCGGCTTGCTGACAGGTCAGGCAGGGTTGGCCTTTTAGGTGTCTTTTCCATCCCTCCAATCTTTCCCTGATTCCAGACTGAGAATCAGAGCAAAGCTGCAGTTCCCCAACCACCAGACCCCCAAGTTGGCAGGCAGTTTCAGGGAGTCATGGCGCATGACTGCGACCCCTGTCCTGGGAACCTTTGATTCTTCAGACTCAGAAGGAAGGTGGGGAACCACAGAGAACTTGTCATTCAGCTCAGGGGGGAGACTGAGGCCCAGAGTTGGTGACCTTGTTCAAGGTCACACAGCCCAGCTTCCTCCCTCGCTCTCCCTGACCCTTGGAGTGAGTACCCTTTTTGAACCGGCAGAAGTGAGCCACAGGAGGGACAGACCCTTTCATGGGTCTTTCTGGGTTAGTTGTCTCAGCCAGTGTCTGGCACCTGGCTGGGCTGATGTGTGGGCCACAGTCAGTAGCCACCAGAGCTCACGCTGGGGCAAGGGTGGTCTGCCAGACAGTGGGCAAGGCACAGGGAAGCGGGAGAGGCTAACCCTGCTGCCCTCCAGGCCCTGTCCACGGACTCAGTGGAGCGCCTACCCGTCTACAACAAGTCAGCCTGGCGCCACTACCAGACCATCCAGGAGGCTGGCGACTGGTGTGTGCCCAGCACAGAGCCCAAGAACACTTCCACCTACCGTGTCAGCTAAGGGCCATCCACTCATCTGCACCCAAGAGGATGGACTGCTGTCTCTGGGACCGGCCACCATGGTGACCCTCCCCATCCCCCCCAGGTGGGGGGAGGCTCTCCTTGATGACCAGCTTCTGTCTCTGTGGACATTACTGCGGTGACCCGTCTGTGGTGGCCCCTAAGTGCCAATCTTTGTGTCCATGGTGACCCCTAGTGGTCTCCCTGGGTTCAGTCTCTGTGGACCGTGCCTAAGGATTGGGTGATGTCTCCATCCTGATGGGGTGTCCCAGTGATATGTTTCCATGGCAGGCCTCTGCTCTGAGCCCAGAGCTGCCACTTCTCTGCCGGGGTCCTAGGTCTCCCACACTGCCCCCCACAGCCCTGACCTCCCGAGCGGATGTCCTGGCTTGCCTTATTCCCCTGGCCCTTGCCGGTACCCTGGCCCAGGTCCGGTGTCAATGTTAGAAAGGGACTGGGTACCCTCCAGATCTCGGGTAGTGAGAGGTCCCTGGCAGGGACCTGGTCCTGTAGTCTCTCCCTCCGCTCTGAGTTTAAGGTCAAGGTTAGGAGGGAGGGGTCTCTCACCTGGGGCTCACCCCTAAAGCTGAGGAACCTAGGAGGACCCAGAGGTCAGCCGCCCAGCCAAGCTGCTCAAAGCCCGCAAGTGGCCCCAGCAATGTTTCTGCCACCTCCCAAACCCTTCCCCTGCATGTCTTCACATGCATACACCTGCCTGCCCCAAACCCACTGGGTCCCCCTAAGTCCAGACCCCAACTCCCACTGTGCCCGGACACACACGTGCTCAGGGTGGCTTCCTCCCTAGAATGTTCTGTGTACATAGCTAGTTTTATAGCCCCGAATGCCCCCACCCTTCCCCTTAGCACACAAGGGGTTAAAGTTGTGTGCTCCTCCCAGTGGCTGTAATGGTGACAGTGACATCCACAGTAAAGAAGAGATCGAATGAGACAGTGGCTTGGCTGCTTTCCTGGGGGAGGGAGATCCACATGTACAAACACACACAGTTTGCAGTCCCTGTGACCAACACAGGACGTGCTCCAGGCACCCATCGCAGCTCAGGACACGACACACACATGCCACAGGTACAACAGCGGCCGTCACCATCCATTCAGAACATTTGACAGTGCAGCACCCAGTGATCGGCCTGTTGCCCCACGCACACACACTTGGGGCCCAGCCCAGCCCCCAACTGGGGCAGACTGAAAGGTCTCTGGCATATCGTAAGCGTTTATTGAAATAAACTGAGTAGTGCCTCCCTCTCCACATGCACGTGGGCACTTAGATAGCTCCTGGTGGCTTCAAGGACCTGGGAGCTTTCCACCCTCCCCACCAGCCCCTCCTCTGGGCCCAGATGGTGCTGGTGCCCCCATATCTCAGTTCCCCTCTGAAGCCCCTCTCCCAGAACAGACAGTAGAGAGGAAGGAGGAAGGGACTGAGACCCAAGGATGGGGTGGCCCTCAGGTCACAGCCCCTGGGCAGGAATGATGAGAATAGGCAGGCGTTGGGGCCTGTCCACTGCTCCAGGCAGATGGGAGGAGGTGGAGGGATGTTTCTCATCAGAGGCCCCCAACCCTACTGGTAATTCCGGCCAGTGCTCTAGAAGGTGGGCTAGCTGCTGGCCAGCACCATACCTGGATGCTCCCTCCCTACAAGGACAAATGCCATGTCTGCAGGGATAGACTCCACCCCAACCCCTCCTTGAGTCCCACGGACCAGAGCCTGCACTGTCTGCCAGTTCTGGAGCCCACTGAGGCCCCAGTGGGGACAAGGACAGATGGGAAGGGTGAATGAACCTTTCCAATTTAGTGACTTCCAGGGGACCTCCTAGATTTTGCCTCTGCCTGGCTAGGGTGAGGATTCACCAGTTCAGTACTGCCTAGTCATTGGTAGGTGGTGTCCTCTGTCCCCATCAGCTCCCACGTTTACTTTGTCCTCAGGGAGGGGCGCAGGCGGCCTCTGAGGGAGCAACAGAAGTGGGCAGGGCCTGAGAGTGGGTCAAAGACCAGGCTTTGAATGGGCCCTGGGAGGGGCAGACCTATGGGGTATCATCTCACCACTGAGACCCACAGGACAGGGAAGGGGAAAAGGAGGAGCTTTTCCTCTTCCCTTCCTTCTAAAGTCCTTGCAGAGATAATGCGGGATAACCATGCTGCTTTCTCTGCTCTCCTGTCGAAGAGTGCAGACTAGGAGTCTACCCTGAGTGCAACCAACTTGCCGCAGTGCCCAGCGGCCTCCCTGGGGAGCAGACCAGAGCTCTCCCAACACCCAGTCACCCTGGAGGATTGGAAAGGAACTACTTTCTCTACCTGCTCCTGCAGGGATGCTCAGCCTACCTCTCTGAGCCCAGGGCCTCTGAAAAGCAAGCAGGCCTCCTAGTTCACTGGCTGCCCCAGCACCACCATGGCCTGAGGGCAGAGGGTCAGAAGGAGTCAGGTGCCTCTGGGCTTCCAAACTTGATTCTGCCCTGGCTTCTCTGCCCATAATCTGCCACGTCCCCCAGGAACCCTATGCCAAACAGTTCTTTAAATGGGATTTATGACTGGGCACTTTCCCTGGGGTCTCCCTTTCTCAGGGACCTGGGTCCAGACAGATGACAGGGTGAGAGGGCGTGTTCCTCCTGAGAGCAAGGGGCCTGACCAGCCCAAGCCTGGTGCCCTGGCCCCGCCTCCCGGGGTGGCCTGTGCCCGTGGGGCCCAACAGCTGCCCGTGCCAGGTGCCAGCGCCGCCCCACCCCCCTAGCTCTTCTTGGCCTCCTGCTCCCTGCGCCGGAGCTTCTCACGCTGCCGCGCAGCCTTCTCCTGGGCCTTGCGCTCCTTCTCAGCGGCCGCCGCCAGCTCCTTCAACTTCCGCTTCACTAGCGCCCGGTCATGCGAGTTGCTGAGCCCCAGGCTCTGGGGGAGGAATCCAAGAGTGAGGGAAAGAACCCCAAGCCCCCTGGCCAGCCCAAGGTGGCCCAGGTGGATTCTGGAGCTCAGCCAGGTTGCCACCTCCCAGACTCACTGACGGATCAGAGCCCTCAGGGCAGGAATTTGGAATGGGAGTGGTTAGGAGAGATAAGGATGGAGGGTTCCAGGCCCTTTGCCCCTCCCCTTCCTCTACTCAGGATTTCAGCCTTAGTGTGACCCTGCCTGACCCCCTGAGACCCAGAGATGGGGAGCAACGTGCCCAAGGACACACAGCTAGTCAGTGGCAAAGGCCCCTCCCCACTCCGGAGACTTCCTGGGAGACCCTCACAACTGCTTCCCCAAACAACTCAGCAGAAGGTGCAGAACAGGCCAGAAACCTCCCAGCAGAGATCAGCACACCCCCAGCACCACCACCCCGCCCACTTCCCTCCCACAACCACCAGCCTCCAAGACTGAGAACCAGATGAGCTGACCAGGGGAAACTCCTTAAGAGTCGAGAGTCAGAGGATATGATAGTCTGAGAGGTCAAGGTTAACCTGGAGACTTGGGCTGGAGCTTGAAAGTCAAACTGAAGAATCTGGCTGGGGTCACACTGGGGGCTCCAAGTTAGACTCGGGGGCCCATCAGAGAGCAAAGATCAGGCCAAGGGCCTTGCCTAGAGGTCAGAGGTCAGGGCAGTGGTCTTAGAGGGAGCAGAAAGGTCAGGATGAGGGGATCCCAATCCTTGAAGTTTGCCTCAGGCTCCGGCTGCATCGGGGCCATTCCACTCAGACCCACCTTAAGTTTGCTTCCATCCAGCTGCAGTAGCTGTGGCCCATCCACCTGCCGCGCAGCAAACTCAGCGGCATACTGCTCCAGGTTGAGGCTGTGCAGCCACTGGCCTACCTGCTGACTGGTCCAGTGGTAGACAGTGGGGAGAGGTTCATCCAGGAACTGGGATGGAGACCAAGGAGAGTGAGCGGGGAAGACGTGGCCTGTGCCCTCATACCTGGCAGAGTCAGAGGTCAGGGCTTGCTTACCTCATCCGAAGACTGGGACAGTGTGTGGTAGGGGTAGGAACACTTGGTCGCCTGCCGGGGACCACTGGGGATCTTGGGGCTGCTGCTGGGGGGTGTGGAGTCATCACTCAGGGTGGATTCCTAGAAGGGAAGGGAGTGCATGCCTCTGAGGAGAGCACTCACCTCCAAGCCCAAAGAAGTCACCCTTGACCCGCCACCCTCATCCAGATGGAGTTGATGTCCAGGCTCGGCACCAGGCTCAGTGCCCCTGTGCACGAACCAGGAACTGGAAGACACGATTCATGGGAGGCATCAGGGTCTGAGGCCTCAGAGAGGATGTGGGGCTAGAACTGAGCCAGGCAGAGTAGTTAGCGGGAATGGAGGAGGTCAGACTAGGTATCGCTTCCTAGATAGCTGACCGGGGTTCCCCAGGCAGGGTCACATGTCCCTGTCTTGCACCTCCCCAGTGTGGCCTCTAGCACCCTGAACTGTAAATGCCTGGTTAGAAGTCCTGTCCTCACTGGACTGTGAGCTCTACAAGGGCCTGGGCTGTGTCTGTTCACCATGGTATCCCCAGGGCCCAGCCCAAGGGAAAGAAGAAAAAGGGAGAGGTGGAAGGAGGGCACGGGAGGAGGGATCCCCTTCTCCCCTGAGTTCCCAGCTTTCTGATCTCCTCTGCCCCTGCAGCACGAGTAACAGAACGACAACAAGTGCAGGCTGAAGGACATAGGGCCTGGCACTTAAATCCAGTTCGGTCTGTGGACAAATCCCTTTTCTCTGGACCTGGATTTGCTCATCTGTACAGTGGGGGCGAGCATGCCTGCCCTCCCTACTTCACTAAGCCTTTGTGAGAGTAAAGCAAAAACACGCATTTGGAGCTTTGTAGACCGTGGAGCCTGGTGAACAGAAGCAGATGCTCACTGTTGCTTCTGTTACGTGGCCTCATTTCTCCCAGAGGGTTGTGAGCTTTCTGAGCACTAGCTAAGTTGGGGTCCTGTTCACCTCTGTTTCCCCCAAGCCTCACTGCATGTATGTAGCTCAGCTCCTAAGACAGGACGTGGGGCTAGAACTGAGCCAAGCAGAAGAGTTAGCAGGAAGACAGGAGCCCCCAGGCTGCATGTATAGTAGGGATGATGGTGCTCAGTGATGTGTGTGGAATGGAAGCAATGAATGAACCACAGCATATGAATGAGTGAGCAAGTGAGTGTATGAACTCAAGAGACTGGATGAATTAACGAATCGCTGAATGGCTCCATGGATGGACAAATGGACTCCAGGGATGCTTGGTCGCAGCCCAAGCTGGGGTGAAGTATGCTGTCAAGCCACCTGAGTCGGGGGGCCCGTATGGGGGCTAGAAGGCCATGGACTCACCTGAGAAGCTGACTTCTTAGGGCTGAAGCCCTCGTGTTTAGGGGAGCAGGCCGGGGAGGTGGTGCTGCCAGAGGACGCGGAGCCCTTGCCACTGTCTGTGAACCAGGAAAAGGGCAGGAACGGGGAGCCCCCTGATCTGCTGGACCCCTCCACCGACTCCCTGTGGAGAGAGCACCCTGTGTGAGTGTGGACACCAAGGCGACAGCCAGGGCCCACAGGGAGCCATGGGCAAAAGCTACAGCTGAGGGGCTGTGGGTGCCTCTTACCTGCTGCCCATGGACAAGCGGTTGCTGCCCTTCTCCTTCCGGCTCTTGCTAGTGGATGCTCGGCGTAAGGTGACCCTGTGGAAAGGGCAAGAGGGAGGGGGACAGTGCTGCCCCCTGTGCTACCCCCATTCCCAAGCCTTTTGTTCTGGCCCCTCCTCCACTCACCCCAGGTCCAGGAATTTTCGGCGAGTCTTCTTATCCAAGCCAATGGTAGGGCTGGCGGGCTCAGGTGGGCTGGCATCCCGGCTGTCATCTTTTGAGGAAGAGAAGGAAGGAAATAGCCCATGTGGTGGCTTGTCTGCCTCCTTCAGCTGCCAGTGAGGTGGTAGAAATTCTCTAGACTTAGAATCAGGCAACCTGGCTCTGGCGCCCTCCACTAGCTGTGTGATCTAGGACAAGTCATCACCTCTCTGAGCTTCCTGCATCTCAAACATGGGGATAGTAACTGCCTATTTCATGGAACCTAATAGGATGTTGATGAAAGCCTTATACAAAGCATAAACCACTCTGAAAAAGGAGGGACCACTACTCCACTGTTAATTTTATCATGGCCAACTTTTAACCAATCTTCCAATCATGGCTCCCATGTCACATCCTCAGAGAAGCCTTCCAGGATGCTCCCAACTGGTTGCTTTCACCCTGATACATGCTCTCCCGCCCTGCGCACTGTTTCTCGCGTAGCACTTATTACACCTTGTAAACATACATTTGATTAAGGGATAAATTGGTTTCTTCCCCCTCTAAACTATAAGAAATTAGTTGTTTCTTCCCATGAGGACGAGGACTGCATCTGCTTGCTCTTTTGTGTGTCCCAGTGTGCAGCAGTGTCTGGCACCTTTTAAGGCGCTCAGGAAACGAGTGAATGAACCGTGGCCTTCCCCCACCCTCCCCCAAGCCACCCTGTCCCTC